TGTATGATGGTACTTCAGCACTATGATTTTTCAAACAACCTTTACAGCTCTGTTGTATGCTTTTAAAATGAACATCTACGTATAATTAGCAGAAGGGATATTAAACAATAGTTAATTAATTTTTCTGTATTTAGAAAACCACTTAATCTATTTAGCTAGTAATGTTGAGAATAAATTTGCGAAAAAGCGTGTAGCCAAAGCCTGAATTTGAAGCTAAGCATGTGCAATTGAATTATGAAATAAATGAAATTGTAAAGTGACAAACAGTCAACTTTCACACAAAATTATGCTTTACAGATACGGTATGGTGAACTTTTACCCTAGGACTTAGAACTGCTATGTAAGCATATAATTCAGCTTGACAAACTTCAAGCACCTGCACTAAGAGGTGTTTCTAAGGTATTTGCTGAGCTAATGCAATAGTCATTTAAATTCAAAGAAAAAGACCAGAAAGATAAAAATGAATTCCAGGTGCTCTTGCAATCCAAAAATGGATGCCTTAAGACACGGGCAAAGAGAATTAGAGTTAACATATATACAGGAAATATATATATCGTATTACAGTATTTCTTCTTAATTATACATGATATTAAGCTGTAAAGTTTAAAACAAACTTGTGAAAGGAATCTTATGACAAAATTTGTGTCTTGGAGGATATTGCTAGTTTTGAAATCCACAGCATGCTAAAACGGCCCTGGCCCCTAAAACTACTCTGTCTTCTGAGGACACATACAAGTAGTCAAAGGCACAAACTCCTCTCCTTCCTTTCATTTTAGCTCCTGGGGAAGATTTTCCAAGACAGCCTGGAATGGCACATATTAACCGCCAAAGAAAGTGAGTGCCTACAGAAGTCCTCATTGGTTTAAGACTATTTATGAAGTGAATACAGCTACTCAAACGGAGCTTGTGGAAGAAGCATAATTATGTGAAAGAACAAGCTGAACCAGCATGGAACAAATACTGAACAACGACCTCGACCCAAAAAAAAGTTAACTGGAAAGAGCTTTCTGTTTTCAGGCAATGAAGACGGAGCATAAGGACAAACTGAAAGGAAGGCCATGTAACACATACAAATTATATGCAATATAAAAATAATCAAGTAGATTAAAAAAGATGATGTAGCACTGCAAAAAGAAAAAATGTAATAATTCATGGTAAGAAAGTACCATAGCACTCCTAGTAGCGAAACCAATCTGCATGTCTGTATTTTGCCAATCATATTTGAGCATATGGGGGAGGACAAGACACTAGCTTAACATAGCATAATTATGCTATGGGATGGATTTAAAATTGGATGGATATACAAATAAAACAAAATTTGGCTCAATTCACATGGAGACTTTGTGAGATGATCAGACAGTTTCTTACAAAATTCCTCAGGAAGACCTGCCTGAGAACTTGATTAACAGTTTTCTGGAAAACCTATGCTGAAGTGGAAATGATGCTTTCATTAAGCACTTCTTTCTCATAAGGAGCAAAAGCACCTGACTCCAATAGTATGCTTTTATTCATTAGAAGGAGATGATATGTGAAGGTAATGCAAGCTTTAAAAAATTACCCATGAATTACCATATGTTTATACCGAAAAGTGGAATTGTATGCAATAGTGAAACGGATAAAAACGCTGTCCCTTTGTTTTCTATGTAAGGTCATTTTAGGACTTTACAGCGGACTTACAGGGAGGGCGGCAGGTGGGGCACCCAACCAGCTCTGTGATGCGTTCATGACTGACCATCGTTAGGGTGCCTAGCTCTGAATTGTAACGTAAGTCTTCAAATGGCACTTCATGAACATATTACTGTTAATCTCCATTAATGCTGCCACTTCCCTAAAGAGCTGTATTTTGGAAATGTTCTAATTTACTACAGGCATGACCATTGCAAAGTCAGAAAAAGAGCCTTAGAAGAGCTACTCAGTAAGAAAAATTGATAGCATTTTTGTCAGTATATAGTATTTGCCAGTCCCTAAGAAATACTTATTTACATAATGTCTCCTGTCTATCTACTGTGTATCCTATAGTCTCCATTTTTATCTGTCATACGTTTTCTTCATAAAGGTTTTCTTTTACGGAAGTGTACACTCAGAGAAAAAAAAGCAGAGCTATAACCATCATGTCACTGGTCCTACTGTTTACCATTAGCTTCAAGGTTTTAGAGCTGATTTACATTACGTTTCTCCCTATTTGACTTTAATTGTCTGCTTCAAGTTGTCAGGACATAACTATATTTTAGATTTGCATTGCATTAGGGGATCTTTTCCTTTCTCTATTGATCTTGTCTTATGGAGTAATTTAACTCAATTCTAATTTTCTTTTGCATGCGGGGTGCTCTCTATCCAAGGAAGTGAGTTATGTGTATTCAAGTGGTGCATCTTATGAATCTTGTTAAGCTTTACCGCCTTATAGCCTGCACTGATGGAATATTTAATCACAGAAATGAGTTGGCAGATATGATGTACAATACGGTTAAGCCTTGCGGCGTGTGTCTTCACCGGCAATTGAGAAACGGGTGAATTTGCCATTCATCAGTGCCATCCTGACAGCTTTGTATAACCTTCTGTTTTTTCACTTATTTATGAAGATTAAAGGTGCTTTAAATCAACACTTTCTCTGCAAATGTATCATCTTTATTTCAGAAGTGGACAAATTTTTCATCATTTATTAGGAGTTAAAGGAACTTCTTGCGCTGACTATGAAATAGTTGGAAGAATTTTAACATGACAGCATTGGAAATCATAATTAAACTAAATAATTAAGACTGGCTATCTTGAAATCACATTTCTAATTTTACAATCTTCAGAAGTGCAATTGCTTCTTCCACAAGTAAGGATGGGGGGCACAAAAGGAAAGATATGCCAAAGTACTCTATTACTGCAGGCAATAACTATATTGTGATTTTACTGTTTCATTTTCTACTAACTTTAAGAAATCTTTACAGAGGATTTTTTTTTTTTTGCCTAAATTGCTTAAGAGGAACTTCAAATGCATCTGTGGAAAAATTTTTCTCTTATTCAATAAAGAACATATCTATTTGATGTGCATTTTAAAAACAATGCTTGCATTTACGAATAGGAAAAAGATTCTGAAACAAAACATGATAAAACTTGACAAAACTTTCTGCATAGGTGAGGTAGAGTGAATGTCATAATTCATAAAATTAAATTAACACTCTTCTAATGGTAATTAAAGATTCTCATTAAGAAGGGCAAACACCTCCCTTGTGTTGGCAATAAAAATGCACTTGGGACTTTAGGAGGTTATACCAAAAAATCAATAACCTGCCATTTTATAATTAAAAGACAAAATAAATGTTAGGGAAAAGTCCAGTAAATTAGGAAAATTACCTTCAGGAGAGATTGAAAATATTGATTTTAATTTACAAACTATGTGAACTCTTCATGCCCTACTTCATGAGACAATTATAAGTCAGATTGTTAATTCTGCATACGTATTAGAAAATTGATTACTGTACTATGGGAATATTATTATATTTGTCATTAACACAAAGTCATTTATATAAAATGACTAATAACTCTGACTTTCTAATTTATGCAGGTTCAGGGTTGGTTGGCTAACTACTCAAACCAGATCAATGTTAAACTCCTGTTTTATAGGTAAAAGAAGGACATAAATTCTGCCTCCGTTAAATACTTCAATTTTATGGATGTGGAATCAGTATTTATTTTTATTATTTTGATGCCACTTCTATAACACAATGCCCTAGCTCGGACCATTTTTGTCTATTCATAGGAGAAGACACTGGATTTATTACAGGCAGCTTCTTTAACACAAATACAGGTTTTGTAATGGCATTCCTATTGAACAATTTTGATCTCTTACAGTCCCCTGAACTAACCAAACATTTTCAGACTCATCTGGTGGAGATTTGAGCATCACCATGAATAGAGAGTAGGCAGGCAACTTCTTCAAGCGCTTAATCACCATTGGTGAAAAATGTTTTCCTAATAGCTACCTGGAATTGCCCTTGTTGCAACTTGCTGCAAAGAATATATTTCTCATTTACCTCTTTATTTTCAGTTACCCAAGTGTGTGACAATGGGTAAATATTTCTGTTTCTAAAAATATTAATAGGTATTTGTATCCAGTATACACATGCACAGGCACACACAAAAACAAACTACTGAAAAACGGATCCAAATGGAAAACTGAAAAACGTCCAACGTTTCACCTGAAACTCATGGGAGGCTCCTGTATGATTTAGGAACCTAATAAGGCAGGACAACTTTAGTACTAACTAGAAACAGCTAGAGTTGCAATTACTATTTCTGCCCTAAATTTAAACTATTAACTTTCAAAAAATGACCTTTTAGGTCTTCCTAGTGATTGTGCTTTGTGGGCTGGATTGAAACACCTCTCAAATCAGCCAGGTTTGGGGACACAACCTCGTTTTCAGGGCTATCATTGCAGCACATTTAGAAACCGTTGCTAGCCATGACTCTGAGTTCAAATAGAAAAAGGCTAAATCTCATTAACTCTAAATTGTACCCAGGATCAGAATTTGGCCTCAGGAAAGACTCAAGAGATGACACAGATGATAAATACAAAAACGTTAAGAAACTGATTAATAAAGTATAAAATTTAAAGATAAATGTTCAGGAAAAAATATATACTAGGAACACAGATGTTCCATATATGTGTGTGTGTGTGTGTGTGTGTGTGTGTGTATATATATGTAAGCATAATAAATTTTTATAGATAGATAATTTTTTTCTTTCACTAGGCTAAAACAATTCCTGAAGCAAAAGTGAGTGTTTTGAAATACATAAAATAAACAAAGCAAAGCAAAATAAAATCTCATGTAAGACTGGGATATTGCTGTACGCTTCAAGTTACATTATGTTTTCCAACACAAAACTATTCCCGTAACATGCAGCAAACAAAGAAACAAAACCTTAAACCGAACACATATTCTGTACTTTTACATGCTTACAAAGAACCTTAAAATAAAATATAGTATTGACAATGATAGTGCAATCCTTACCTGCATAGAATTCTGGACTATAAACTGCACCAACAACTGGATTTAATTTCCAGCCTGCAGCAAAAATAAAAACATAACTGAGTTAATATTGCAATTAGGAATACTGATAATAAATTTTATTTATTTATTTTTTTATAGAAGAATAGACATAGAATGGCTTTAGAAAAGGTCATTTTAACGGAAATTTTACAGGCATGCTTAGATTTACTCTGATCTTTAAAGTCAGAACACACTAACTCTTAAAAGTATGGAAATAAATAATGAAACAAGCCATTTTCTGGACATGTCTATACTCAAAATAGCATTGAAGTATATTATCAGGTGAATTAGCCTGGCTGCAATGCCCAGCTAACAGGGAATTATTACTTTAAGCTATGGAGCTAACCCAAAACTAGTTCAGGTATCTCTACATCACGCAGTGCCAGAGTACAACTGGTTTTTTTCGTTGCTTTTACTCTCTGGTTACAAGCCAGAGAGGCCACAACAATTGTAGTTGCTGAACTTAAATATGCTGGTGACTTATGTTATGGTAGGTTACAAGACCATAAAGCAATCTGAGCATTTTGATTATTGTACTCTGGGAAAAATGAAAGCGCAGACACTGTAAGGAAGTGTCCACTGTCACGTGAAAGGTATCTGCACACACTGTGATTTGACATCTGACAAATGTCAGAGACATTTTTTTCTATATTGCATTTGTACTTCAGGCTGTCTAATCCAAAACAGAACAATTACAGACATGTAGCAAAAATGATTGCACAACTTGCACTTACAACTGATAAATGCTGCTAGCATACTGCTATCAAGCAACAAGCATGTAAGAAAATGTTTGAGTCGCATTTTCCAAAGCTCTGGAGTGGTACAAATGCAGCCCCTGCCTTTGTCCTAAATCATCCCACCCTTCTATAGCTGACATAAAATCCGTACAAAAACACAGAACCAATACCGATTCATTGTCATGTGTTCTAGAAAACCCCCAAGACGCGCTCATGGTTCCTTACACCTGGTGCAGTTCTGCCAGGGAAACCTGGAGCGCAGAGGCTCACTGTGGAAGCACAGTTTAAGGGATATGTGATGCTAAAGACAACAACGCTGAAGGAACTGAAGGGGAAAGGTAAGAGGAAGCAGGATGAAACATGGCAAACTCTTCAGTGTTCCTAGCTCTGGTAAAACACTACTTATCATTGTTTTGCACAGTCACAAGTAGATCCACTTCCCAAAATCCACTGAACTTTTTTTTTCCTTTTTTTCAGCTTTTGAACAATTATTTGTCAACTTGTGATGTGGCTGCTGTGAACTGCTGGCACTGAAAATTAGGGCTTTTCCAAAAGTGCGTGTGAAATGGAGGGGTGGGAAGCACTGTTTTAAGTGGGAATAAAGAAGAAATTCTGAGCAAAGGCATCTTGTAAACTCTAGAACAATGACACTTTAAATAGATTACACAACTATGTTGCTGGAAGCAGAACAGCTACATATAATCAAGACAGGGGACAAAGGGTTTTTAAAATCCAAAATCAACACTGCTGTTCAGAAGAATTTAAACCCAAGCTGTAGTGAGGCTTGTTTCTGCCTCGGCCATAGAATGCAATGCGAAAGCACAGTAACAGACTGTAAGATCTTAATGCATTATAAGTAAGACTGAAAAAATACAACAGAGAACCTCAGTAATAACACAAAAGAGAACTCTATACCTACCCTTAAAAATACTGCTATCTGTATCTGATGCACTGTAGCTGTTTACCAGTAATTACATGATCAACAACAGAGGTGATGGATGTTCTAGAAATACAACTCATTAATAAATCCAGAGTAAAGAACAACACTGCATGGTATCTGCTCTGCAGAAGTAATTGTGGCTGCTATACATACCTAAAATATAATTATGGAAGCTGGAAAATGGCCAACAAAGAACGGCTAAAACGACTTTCCTTCGTAAAGTATCACAGAATTTTTACTTGGCCCCTTTATAATTTTAAGAACTAGAGGATTATATTTGAGAATATCATAGTACATCAAATATTCTTAGTCAAGTTGCCTATGATATAAAATCATCCAAATATTTAGACTTTCAGTAAAACTCCAACTTTCTGTATCTCACTGAATGTTTCAAACTCATTACTTCCTCAGAGATCACTGACCAATGCAGTCCAAAATAAACGAGCAAATTTCAGATCTGTCAGCTTTTGCTGTCACAGAAGCTGACAGATACCCCTCAGCTTTTAAGTTACACTAACAGTGCCACAATTTGTCTGGGAGGAAGAAAAAATCTTGGAAGATGCAAATTGATGTTCACAGCTGAAAGTCACTCTCACATTTCAGTTCCTTACCACTCTTACGCTGATGGCTGTATCATCTAACTTTTTGAAGCTTATACAGGAAATACTTCATTCATCATGAAAATAACAGTAATTAAACCTAACTTCATCTTGTCAGTGACGCATGCGCTGGCCCGTAACTGTGTGGGTTAATCGAGTGTGATCGGAGTTGAAGCACCCGAGTGAGCGACTGCCAGGTAAGCCTGCTTCAGCAGTCGGAGGAGGCAAATTGTCTGCAGCGGGTGTGATTTTGCACATTTGTCTTACTGTCACAATATTCATCTCCTCGAGTCAAAACTATAAAAGCTCAAAACTTAAAAGACAAACATCCCCCCAAAACCAACCCCATATATTCATCTAAAGGCATACGCTTTAAGCATGCTAAAGGGAAGGGAATAATTACATAGCATAGAGCGTAAACAAGCTTTGGTGGAAAGCAGGACACAGTAATGTAGAAAGGATTATTTACACTTCATAGGCTAGGTCTGGCATACATACATGAGGAATACTTTGATGGGAAAGGAGATCTATGACACCGTTTGCCGTCTTTCCATTTGTGCACAGAACAGGCAGGAAAAGGGAGCAAATTCAACTCTGGTAATAGTCACTAGCTGTGATTTTGAATTGCTAAGTTTAGATCAGTAGAAGGCTCAAATTCAAGGCATTGCAAGTATGAACTTTAAAGCCTATTTATTCCTCTAGTGATCTCTGTTTCACACTCCTCATTCGCTGCTCAGGTTCTCCTATGCTACTTAGGCACAATGCTCTACTCCCCACTACCGTGGACATGCATCCCAAATTGCAACATGGCCTTCAGAATAAGAAATAAATCTACATGGTGGAGTACATAATTTGATTTTCTTGGACTAAACGTGGGCAGGACAGCTTGGAACCTCTAAAAAAGTCTCAGAAATATTTTTGCCAAACAAGCAGAACTACAGTGAAAAGCCAGTCATATTTTCAAAACACATGAGGTCAGCCATCGAAATCATCTTCTCCAATAAAAACCTTACAAGAAAAAAGCTCTGCTAGCACCTGGACATCTATTAACTACAAGAATCATCTGAAGTCCATAGAAAGCAAATTTATTTTGAAAACCATCTAGTACCTAAAAGCAAATCACTTATCTAAATGAAGCTGCATATATTTTAAAAAAATCTAGGTTATTCTGTTTTAAAATTTGCTGAGTTTTGCAATTGTATTTACAGTATAAGCCCTGTTATCAAACAACCACAGCAAGACTGAGGAATGAAAGACCAAAACATAAAGTAACTACTTTTTAAATTATAATACAAATTAAAGCCTGTCATAAGGTCTGTTTCATATAACACAACACTGCTGCAAGCGCCCTGGCTATGTTTTGCATACCTGTCAACAACACATTAGTCACCAAATACACTTAAAAATAAAGCTGTGTATTAAAAAAGAAGCAGTTCTAAACAGATATACATATACAAATAATAAATTTCAGGCTACATGTGTTAGAAGCATCTTTCAAATGTTAATATATATGAACACATTAAAAAAAATGCCTTTTATTTTATTTAAAAGATGGGACCTTTACTTTAGACAACATGATCTTTAATAATCACCTACAGCGCTGGTTAATTTCTGACAAAATGATAAAGAACTAGAATCATACAATGTCAAGACGACTGATAATAGAAACACTGAGTAAACTAAATGAAGCCCATTGCCACCTGCACTTCATTCCTTGCCTATTGTAATGACTGTGCTAGAAGACCAGGATCGTCTCTCTGCGTTTCCTTCGGGGGATCTCAAACACTAAAAAAAATCTAAAAAGATCAAAATGCATGAACCAGAGTTTGCCTTGGTAGAAAACCAGCCAAGGTGCGCAAAAGATCATCCCACACGCAACTCCTTGGATGACCAGATTCGCAAACCTAAACGTTGGTTTTATGCATTGAATCAGACGTTTCCTGCTACTAGTGACAGCCGGTCCAGGCGGAACAGCGTGGAAAACGACAGATACAAAGTGCTTCAAGTGAGAAACACTTTTAACAGCAGATTATCATCATTCTGTTTGTTGGCTATTAGGAAATGACAACGTGTGAGCCAAGTAATGCCTGCGATGCAGGACACAGGTGGCACTCCTCCTTAAAATAATCAGATTCCTGAAATCTCACATTTCTGTTTCCAGTATTTCTTTCCTTCATTATTAGATGCATTATTTGATATGTAACAGTTCTGTACCCTTAGGATAACATGCATACAAATACATACACCACCATTTATAACACAACTACTTGTATCTGTTATCACTACAATATAACAGGCAAATTGACATTATTGTACGCAAAGAAATTAATTTAGCTTCTTTTTGCAACAAAATATTACTATGCGATTGAGTCAAGCTGTGTGGCTGGTTAGATTCACTGAGATTCCTTGTTTTAAGGCCAGTCACAGTGAAGAGATTTTCCCACCTGCATCATCCGGCACGTACAGATATTTACATACAAAAATGAGAAAGAAAACAGTTCCTGAGGAAAGCATGAGGAATTTCAGACTAGTCTTCTCCAGATCACTTTAACTAGCTCAATAATCACACGTCAGATTGAAGACAGTCACTTCATTTTATTTTCCACTATGGTGGCAAAAAGACTATGACTCATTCATTAAAAAATAATGCCACTATTTGCCCTAGTTTTTAGTAAAACCTCACTAATGAGCGCTCAAATACAGAAAATAAGGCCATTATATTTCAAAAGCAAAAAGAGCCTCAGCTAGCTGTGGAAACCATTCCTGACGTATGGGCAGATTTCATCTGCTTTCTACTGGATAGGAAAAATGAAATTAAATGGAAAAGTAAATGGTTACAGCTACACAGTCCAGTAAAACCGGAAAACCTAATTGCCGTTAACTTCAATTTGTGTGTTATTGTTTGAAGCTGTTGAGTTAGGAGCTTGTTAGAATTTTCTGAACTAGCGAACACAAACGACTTCTTGAACAATTAAACACTGCCAAAGGAAATATTTTTAAAATTAATTGTCTCCAAACCCCTCAAATATCAAATGACTTTTCTGTCATTATTATATAATTTTATACTGCTATGCTGGGTCAATACTATAATTATAACTTTCTGGTAAGCTGGAATTTATATTTTTCCATGGAAAAAAGCTGGAAATAGCATCCAATTACAGTTTGCCCTTTACCCTTAAAAAATTGCAGAAGGATGACACAGAAAAAATAACCTTCAACTAAACGTGTGTCTCAGTGCTAAAAAGTATCTTATGGCTAACAGAGACATTCTTCTTACTGGCCTCCCTATCTCTATCATCCAAGGAAAATTGAATCCTATGATTAGTTCATTCATCGCAACATTAACACTGCACAAAGCTGGATGAGAATAACGCTTTCCTACCAGGTGTATTTTCCTACCCAAAAGCCACTGTGGTTAAACACTGAGATTCCAGTCTAGCAAAATGATGCATGCTATGGCCACGTGGCTGTGAATCAGCTGAACTCTGCAGAAACAGAAATTGCGCCCATCCATAATAAGTTTCCTGCCTGGGGCCCCGGACGGACCCTGAGCCCAAGGAGAGACGCAGGACCACGACACTTCGTCAAGACAGGAGTTCACTCGCATCAGGCAGAGGAATGAGGTTTTACATGCACTAACATAAAAACAAAGCGCTAAGATCGCATGCACTTACCATTCGTGTAAGGGTTGACGGTCTTTTTATTTGTCATTACACGTGCTGTTGCATTATTTACCTAAGCACATAGAACACTCAATTAGAAAGGGTTACAGGGAGGGTCCATGGTACTATTAAACGCATGCATTATTACTGCCATTAGTCATGTAAAAAATAAAATGCAATTTAATTTACAGAAGGCAACAGGTGCATAACAAAATCATACTATTTATAATTACATTTACTTTCATAACCATTTTAACTTACAAATCATTTCAATAAAGCAACATCATATCATTTAAACTTTAATAAAAAGACATTGAAAGCAAATTAAAAGGTACTGCAGAATTTAAGACTTAAGAGCATGCTTGTATTCCATGATAACACTGATACAATAAATATTCAGAACAGAAAAAAAAAGTTTATATGAAGGAACATGCAGTGGAGTAGAGGGGAAAGAGACAAGGTACAAGGAAACAAAGAAAACGTCAAAAAAAGGGACAAACGAATTTTAGCAGTGTGCAACATAACCCTTTAGAAGAGAAGTACCATTGGAAAAGCAACATCTAGCATTCAACACTTGGAACAAGAGCCTTTTTCATTGCAAGAATTAACAAAATCATTCAAGCTTTAAAATCACAGCTAACAAAAGGATAAAAAGAGGGTGCATTATTTAACACAATATGGAGTTAACAATCTGAGTAAGATGTGCACGAAGTCATATCCTCAATCCAATCAGTGCCTCCCAGGCTTGCTTAAAACGTACACTCAATTACAGGCGTACCAATATAGAAAAAAATGTAGCATCAAGAAAACTTAATACAACAAGTCAAAAAAATTCACGTGGTATATCAGCGCTAAATACGTGAAACGGCAGATGGACTTCTCCACTTACCATTCAGCACCATCGCCAGCATGGGTATGTATACAGTTACCATGGTTACTGAGAGTTTGGTGAGGGCCCTAAGCGCTACCGTCGAAGGGGGAAAATGAAAAGGCAAAATATGCAACATCTTACTCAAAAGACGACAGCATTTTCAATTGGTATTTTTTTTATTCTAACAAATACGACTGAGGCAGTATTGAAGGGGATCCAGTGGTACTAAAACGCATTTGTGTTGTTTTTTAATAGATACGAATGGCTCAGGCCAGGCAGCCAAAGTAGCCTGATGGTTACGTTAAAAATGCAATGTTAAAATTGGTCGGTCTCTAGTCTGGCTTTGTTTCTTTTTCTTGTACATCTTTTGGATGCTTCTTTCCCAATCTGAATTTTTTGAAAGCCACTGTGGATCCCGCATCAACCCTGCAGCAAAAAAAAAAAACAAAAAAACAAAAAAACAAAAAACAACCTTTTGTTTGTGTTTTGTCTGTCACATTTTTTTTTGTTCTCAATTTCTTTTTTTTTTTTGTTGGCTGGTTTTTTGGAATCTACTGCACCCATTGATTTACAAAACATCCAAAATAATAACTTCAAAATATTAAAGCTTTCATTTTTTTCAATTCTGTCATCCACCTTTCTGCAATAATGATAATAATAATAATAATTACAAAAGAAATAATAATAAAAAACCCAAGTAAGGCCAGATTCTCTCTCTTTATATATAAATATATATATAAACAATGGGAAGGGGAAAGGGGAGCACACAGAAGACACCAATGATGCATCTGAAACAACAAATGAGAGTGAAGCAGACATTTATAAAAAAGATGAAAAGGAAAATATTTTGAACATGCACCTCGATTTTACGGCCCTCTACCACGGTGCCGTGTAATTTCTCCCTCGCCCTGTCCGCATCAGCACTATTTTCGAAAGTTACGAAACCAAATCCCTGCATGCAGGAGGGAGAAGGGGGGAAAACAACATGCACATTATTATTTCAGTCAATGACCACTTGTTTGCTTATGTTCTCTCTCTTTAATTTAATATTTTCTTGTCCTTGCTTCATTTCTGTAACATGCAAATTAGAGAAATTATAATTGTATTGAGATGTGCAATAAATAAGCGACACATGTGAACAAATTTTCTTCTCTGTCATCATTTTAGATAATACCCTCAGAAGAATTCAAAGAATGACACCAAAAATACCTTTCTACATGTCACTACAGAGGAAAATAAATCTAACAATAAGAAAATGAACTTAAAATAAATTACAGTGTCTTCACATAGAAAAAAATGAAATAATGAGAAAAGAAAATGAACCACATTTTAATGACATGCAGATATCTCAACAAAATAAAAAACATGTGCACAAAATTCAACACTGAATGTCAATATACTCTAAAACATTGCCTACTTAATCATGCTGTTATGATCATAAGAAACATTGTTCCCATGCAACACTAGGGTAACTTAAACTTTTGTCAAACTATACAGCCTTTACTTATTTTTTATAAAAGAAAAAAAGAAAACAAAACCACCAACAAAACAAAAGTACTTTTAGAACTAAGCATAAACTTTCCTGTATTAACAGATCAAATAAAATCATATGATGTGAATAGAAAAATAAACTCTGATAAAGGAATAAAAATGCAAACATTTTGAGTAAGTTTAACCGGTTCATTTATTAATTACATACATTACTTTTCACATATAGAACATGCAACCGTTAAAGCTCCAGAATCCCATGGTAGCGGGACAGGAAGGCATTTGACTAATGTGAAATTCTGCCAAATACTTCACTTTATAACATTAGGCTAAACTAACTTTTCCAGTCCTACTAACATTCTTTTTCATTGTCCTAAATTAAACACTGCTTGAAACTGTAAATACTTTAAAAGTCAAACATTTACAAAACATTTTAAAAACATACACCAACCCTTTGAAATAGCTCTTGTGTTACCGCTACAATGCCTCTGGATGCTTTCCCAACTTATCCCAACAAAGAAGCTTCGATCTTCCTTGGTGCTTCATAACAAGAAACATTTATAAATTGTACATGGCTGCTTTATAAAGTAAAGGCATTGCTGTACATGCTTGAAGTCCTACTCCAACCTTCTCCTTCACTGCTTCTTTAGCCTGAACTATGAACAAAAGCTTTGCTTTGCTCTCTTCTTCAGCAACGAGCCATGCATCATGTCTCATCAAGCTTTATCCATCCTTTCACCATCCCCATTTTCCAGTCCATTCATTAAATTTTGTGTTCAGGATTCAACCAATTCTCTGCAGTTCTACCAATTATATACAGTGACAGTGGAAGGAGAAAAAAAAAAAAAAGAAAAGACGAGATAAAGGAAGGAGACTCAAAGGCTATTAAAATCATGCTTTTTTGAGTGGCGTTGAGGGAAGGTCTTTATACGTTTCATACAAAGAAAAGACCAAATACAAAACTAAGGCAAAAGTAAGTACTAACACCAAACATTGAGAATAACCATGGATATGAACCACCAAATGAATTCAAAGAAAAAAAATGCTGAGAAACTATCAGGATTGATCTTTAAAACACAGGTTATTTGGGTTATTTACCTGTTCAAATAACACATTTATTTATGTTGGTTTGTAGCATGGAGATTTTTTATATGGTAGTGCTTTATCTTCTATCCTCTTCTAAGTATTTTGTTTAAACCTACTATATGTTGCTTTCTTCTTCTTTTAAAGTCATGCTGAACCCTGAGCTCCAAAATGCTCAACTAGCACTTCCCCTTTCAGCTGAAATCATTCTCAACCCACCTGATTCCTAACTCTTCCCCACCCCTCCCACCACAATTTTAAGATAAAACCATGATCTCTCTTGTCACAAGACATAAGGACATAATTCTCCTTTCCCCAAAGCACCAGGAGAATGCCCGAGAAAGTAAATTCCCTTTCTCAATATTAATCCCTACACTTTAAGGGCCTGCATTGGCCCTTCTTACACAACACTGACTTAAAACACTTATTTCCCCTTTCATTGCTTCCTGAAACCCATTTATTAAAAAAAGCTCTGTAAAAAAGCTCATAATTTCAGATGCCGTTAGGAGGATTCCACAGCACAAACCATCACTGCAGTGATCGATCCAATGATCCTTGGTTCATGCGCCAGTGCGAATTCCCCCAAACCGATTTGTTCACCTCTCTCCTCAGTGCTGAACAACTGGCCCCTTCCCAGAACTGCAAAGAGTGAAAATTTGGTGGGAGCCTTTTAGTCAAAAATTTGAATCAGTCTTATTAGCTTATAGCGAGCTAGTTTTTTTCAAACACTTGAAGTGAAAGATAAAAAGCTAATTATATTTTAAAAGTTAGACAAAGATATGAAGTAGAGTCACAAGCCAAGATAAGACAGGAACTTCAAAGACTGTGAAAAGAGAGCCCATTGTAATCTTTTTATTTCTTAGGTTTTACTTATTCCTATAATTAACACTATTTAAATGAAGCTCTCATTTATGCAAATGTTTAATTTTACCTATCTGACAGAGAAACAGTTACAAAGCATAGGTTCATTCATCACATATTTAACTGAAGATATCTACACTAACATATTAAAGTGTATTTTATATGCGGTTGATTCAACAGCTACCTTGGCTTAACCTATGTATTTTTTTAACCTGTAAATTTCTACATATCATTTTTAAAAGTCAGTCAAATTATTTAATAATAAGCAAGTTTCTGCAACGGAAGGTTCAGTTTTAATTTGGGAGGTGTTTTGCAAGTTTCGTTATTTGAATAAATGGATATATTAAACATATACAACATAAATATTAAACATATATTAATGCATATACACATATAGATTTATGCTAGTATATGTGTAACGTGTAGTTGTGTAGAGCATTAATTTAAAACGGAAAGAAAATGGCACTTGTTGATGTTTCTGTATCTTTTACTTCTCTAAAGCAGAAGGTTATCTCTGCAGCCTTGCAATCACGCCCAAGGGACGAAATCAATTTGCAGCTCTGTGGATAGCTGCTGAAGCCCGGAGCTGGGCAGCTGAGTCAAGGAAGAACGTTCGGTGTTAACACAGCAGCATGGCGCTGCAATGAGCACAGTAACGGAAGCTAGCTATTGAATGTCCTTCCAGGATGGGGGCTAAATGCATAGCCTTCCCGAGTTTGCCACCTCTGAGCACTGAGGCTTTCTGTGGTAACAAAACAGGAGCCGGCTCTAGCAGTTTCTACAAAGCAGCAGCTGCTTAAGCAGCACAGAGTTATTCTTTCTTAGCCTTCAACAGCTCTTCCACATTTTCCAGTGTATTTCATCCTAAAAATCCTTGCAGTTTGCTACACCCGGAAATGACCATGCTTAGTTTCTGGCTCAGTCTAAAAAGTGATTTCATATGCTTCTTAACAGCATTACCAGCAGCGTTTATGATCTTTCACTCAACAAACTTTGCGAATCAGGAAAGGTAAGCCTAATTTATTTGAAATAGGTTTTAAGAAAGACCTAGACTAAAACAATACTGAACTTCTTGAATTCTTCATAAAAAGAACAGTTCCAAGAATGATCAGTGTTGCCGTATGATTCCAGCAAAGTTACCTTAATTATTTTTATTATTAGAATATTGTATTTTCTTTACGTAAAAGCTTCAACAGTAACTGTGTGTTAGGCCCCTAAACAAGCAGAAGCGGTAGCATGAAATTTGTATTTTTGCAAGAAACTTTTAAATGGGAAACTTCCCTTTTGTAAAATTTTTTACACTTTATTTTAGTGTGGCAGGGTTATGGTTTTTAAACTCCATAATTCCATTTTTCTTAACTATCACAGTATGGAAATGATCTTACCATTATTGTTTTCATAGGAATCTTTTAAATATTTAAAATATTTAAACATTTTAAAATGTTCAAACTTTTAAAACACTAATTATTAGAATCTAAAGAGACCTAAAATGCTTTTATGCCAAACTGCAGCCAGAAACAAATTTCGATTTTGGGCCTGCAAACTTCTTTATCTGTACTCAATTTGAGACCATTTGGAAGGCCTTTTATTTCCAGCAGAATTACATAAACATACATAAAAACATAGATGAGCGCTGCTAAGAATGGGACCGTAATCTGCTGCATATTAAGTCTCACAGAATGGACATGAAATTACCAGAAAACACTCTCTTATTCCTAACCCTGTTTTATTTTTTAAGTATTTGAGAGAATTCAGAGTACACCTGCAAAACAAAATACTGTGTAGATAGCCCTGAACCAATTCTAAGCAAGATGAGAAGCAGAGCACAGGAGCTAAGAGATGCACTGCGGAGCTGCTCTATCTTCAGTAGTGCGCTTAGAGCCAGCTTAGAGCCAGTATGGGACACAGCACTGGACTGGGCAGAACTCCTTCCTACGAATAGGTCTCCAAGTCTCCAAGAGAAAGTGTGTAACAGAGGCAGTGATGTTGCAAGCCTTCCTAGGGAAATTTCTTCCTTGTGAAACCCTTTTTGTTCGTTTGTAGCACAAGGCAGTAGGATGTTTTCACTACTGTAAGTTCACTACTGAAAATCCCCAGTTTAGACACTCCCTTCCCTTCCCTCCCTTCCTCCCTGCCCCTCAAAAGGCTGGTACTTACGTACTCTGATACAGATATAGTGGTTACAAAGTCCAGTATACGTAAGATTAACAACTGAACTAATGTGTAACCCCTCCGCCTATGACCATATATACTCAGTGCTACCCTATTTCCAACACAGCTAATCAACAACGGCAAGTATGGGATGTCTTTTGAAATTTATAAACCTATGCCCTAGGAGTATGTCCTGGACAAAATTTCCCTCAAAAAACCTACTGAACAGTCATAATTTAATATCATAGATTTCAGCTAGAATAGCAGATTTCAGCCAGTTTGAACAGGCCACCTTCTGAGCCACCAAATTCCATACATATTGGTTGCTTTACTGAAAACACTAAATGTCTCAACTGAATGTGGGCCAGCAGGGAAGGATATCAATTAATGAACATCAGAAAAATTTTGGAAATAAATCATGACATTTGAGTCATTCTACGTGAGAAAAGGTGACGGCTTTAAATTTAGAATTAAATGTTAACACGTTAAGAGAAAGAATAACAGAAGAATTAAAACCTGTCTGGTACGAGGGAGAATGATGACATATCTGATATATCTTAAAAGATGACAGATTATGGTATAACAGGAAAATAATTCTATCATTAACAATAGATTAAATGTAAGAGTTACAACAAGACCGATGCATAGATGGAGAAACATTATATTGTGTCTAACATTGCACAAAGAGAAAAAGACACCATGCATATGACATACGCACACACCCTTAAAATGCAGCTGATGTCATAGGTGAAACCTCCTGGGAAGCTGACCCCTGTTTTGCACCAGTTAAGGCTGATAATGCAGGCATAGCCATTCTATCTTGCTTTATTTCTTAAATACCCAGTAAATCAAAGTATGCATTTAAGGCACGGTAATTTTCAGGAAAAAAAATAAATGTTTGCAATACAGTAAGAACTCTTTTAATCAAATAAATGTTAAAATAGGTTGTATTCAAAGGGTTGGTGTACTGAAGCTTTAACTAAGGAGGAAAACACCTGCACTTAAATAATCTAGAACAATCACATATTTTCTCAGCTAATTACTGAAGAGGATAGTTATTAGGTGTCATTATCATCTTTCATTTCAATACAAAAAAAAAAGCTGTACTAATACAGATCTGCCTACAGATATCTGTGAGTATGGACCCATCTTATAAAATAAACAAGGTAATTATCATTGAAGAATAAAGAAAGCGGAAAGCAACATTCCAGTAAAACAGATGACAGTTTGAAGTAGTTCAAATTACCCCCTTTAAAAGATATAAAATGAGTCCAATGATTTTCAGGCTGCTTAGGAAACTGACAGAAAGCTGAGAAGGTGTTTCCATTACAGTGCAATCTCAGATGGACTTGTTACAGCAGTGCAGTTGTTTCCTTTTTCTCATATGAAATATTTTAAACAAATTATCAAATTCCTTTGGTGAATTAAACTGCTTACCTTTGAGCCTCGCTCATTAAAAATAATTTCAACATCTAAGATTTTACCAAATTGCTGCAAAGAAATAGAAAAGTTACATGAAAATAAGATAACTGCAACACTTCCAATATATCTAGTACAAATGCTTGTTTTAGAAAATGATGCACCATATTAAAAATTAAAGAATATAAAAACAAACATAGTCAAGCACCAGAAAAGACAAAGTGAAAAGTAATCAAATCACTATTATGATTAAATTGGATATATTATTACACCTGTCACTGTCATTCCATACAGTCATTTCTGAATTTTAAATTCAGGGATGCCTTCAAAGAAGACATTGTCATTAGCTGTGATCATAATGAAGTGAAAGTCCCAACTTCCTTTTTTTATTTAGTCTTTGCACATAGTAGGTCACTTCCAGGTGATCTAGTCCAGCTCCCATCACCAGTTCTTTCATATGTAATATGCTACTGGTTCAAGTCACTTGGAGTGTTAGAACCACCACTAACAAAACAGGATTAACCGCGGCATGAACGCTGTTGCCCTCTGGTCAGCCTTCCCACTGAAGAACCTTTGTTTCTGAAGACTTTTTGCAGTTGTTCCCAAGGCCAGGTAAGCAAGTTAAGTTACTTCAGCTCTACAGCAGTAAGATGAACTCAAATGGGAGTTTTGTCACCGGCTTCACAGGAGCGAGGAGTTCTCGCCACCCTTAAACAGGTTCTCCCAGGGCTACCAGATTACCTCCTAAGTGCTTATGGGTTCTACCATCAAAGCAGAGTGGAAAAGGGATATCCACTATTCCCTAAGCAATTCTTGTCTTTCTAGAGTGTAACACTGAAAACTCGAATGGTTACTTGTGTGTTGGGGAATTATTCCCCTCTCAAAACCACACTTTTATTATAACACTAGCTATTATTGCTATTCACATTACAATAGCACTCACAGTCTGTAGGCAATGCTCACCCGTTCAAAAACAGTCTCTGTTCCAAAGAAAAAGCCTCTATTGTACTTGTCTTAGTATGAGAATAAATGTTTAACTCGGGCAATACTTAGTCAGAACACTTTTTGAGATGACATATTTTGTGATGTGACACTTCAATATATCATTCGATGTGTCCAATTCTGTTATTTCGTATGTTTTTAATATGTTGTAAAGGGCACTGATAAGTGATACAAGATATTAAGTTAAAAAGTCAAAATTAAATTCAGACAAATGAAGACTAATCTAGCAACACATCAAGAAGCTGCAAAAATTTAGACTTTACTCCAGTCTTTTAGGATACAGTAAACAACTACAGAACAAAAAGGACAGTATTCTTTCTCTAGCTTATTCAAAGCATTTCAACTTCGTTATGAAAATCAACCACCATTCCCTTGGCTTATTTAATGTTCTTGCATTCACCATCTAATTAACTAATGTTTTAACTGCTATTTTAGCTTATAAGCAGACACTGACTGACTGTTTAACACAATCTTCCTCTGCTGTACTCATGTCCATGGAAAGAAATCATCTGCCATATGCATAACACAGTCAAGATGCAGCATTATCACATTTCATTTCATGTGTTTTCATTAAATCCACACTTGTAGATATTTTATTTTTCTATCAGGTGAAAAGCTACAAGTTTGCTGTTACCAAGTCATTCTAAAGCTGAAGAACTCTAGCTGTCCTCCAGTTTTGAGGTCTTTTGAGACCTAAGACACAGGAATACTGAAAAGAAATGTAGCTTTTATTCATTTACAAATTATTACAAGCCCTATGAAAAAAAACACCAAATCATTTAATGTACTTTCAAATAAAATCCATCTTTTTAAAGTGGTTTGTTTAATTTAAATAAATTTGCATATTTTTCTCTAGGGAGTTAATTATTATGCCTCTGCTATTTTGTTGATGAGTCATAAGCTACTGACAAACAGGCATTCAGGGGAGGTTGCTTACAGCAAGTCAGATATGGCAAAACACAGACACCCTTGTTTCCCACCACCACACTAGGATTCCTTCCCCAGTGAATGTTTCCTTCATTTCATACAAATAAATACTGAAAACCACAATATTTTAACCCATATATTAAGGCATTAAAAAGAATTTAAAAGTCTGAACCAAACATGAGTGATAAAGAGCAGGACAGTGGCATGGACATCTATGAAACATCATAGAACATTTCATATTTCATAGAATATTTCATAGGAATATTTCATTTGTAATGCTTTCCAGAAGAGAACCGAAGTTTTACTGAGTCAGAAAAAAGTAAGCAAGAGGGCCATGAATAATTGGAGTACTAGCGTGGAAAATAAAAAGCTGAATTCTAATAGCTGATCAAGAAATATTTCTAGATTTTATTCAGTGACATTTCAAAATCAACTAAACTGTTCTTGGAAGCAGGAGAAGAAACCAGCTCCAGTCTCTCCATGGTTATGAACCTAGAACTGATGGCACATATGAGGCTTATGAAACACAGCCAATGCACAGGAAGGCAGCTAACGTTAATACTAATGGGAATAGGTGAGGATTCCTACACCTGGATTTCAAGCGCTTAAATGCAGCCCATGTCTCACTTCTGTAGATTTGGGCCCCATGCGCATGACGTCAAGCACTGCCTGTTTTTGTATCTTGCCCTCCCAAATCAATAAATGTAGGCATATAACTCCAGATGTGCACATCAGGAACATATATGCACTGAGCATTGCAAGCCAGCGTAGGGAGCTTTTTAAAATAAAATACAAAACAACATGATATATGGACTATAGACGCCTACATCACATACAGAAGAATTTATTTTCCCAAATATGAGGGGCAAATCAGGTATTTGCTTACAAATAACTGAAAAGAGGATCTTCACTGAAAATGCTTAAGTAGCCTAACTCACAGATCCTGCTGTCGATGTTGCCTATAACATAACATTGCAATGCAAATATAAAAAATAAACAAAAATAAGTACTTACACCAAACATTTGTCTAAGATCTGGATCCCGGAATCTGAAAGGTATATTTGAGACGTGCAGCCGTTTTGGCTGTGATTTGTTTTCTGTGTTTTCAGAGGATTGTGTCTGTTGCTGGCCATCGGTCTGTGCTGCATCATCTGTCTGCTAAAGGAGGTAAAACAAAAAAAAAGTAAAGCACGCTATCTATTTCTGTATGGGCTTAATTTCTCAAAAATGCTGAAAAGGAGTTAAAAAAAACACTTAACAAAGGTATTGAAGAATATAAGAAGCTGAAACAGATAAAACAGATAAACAGTGTGTTCATTTATCAAATCCTTTTCTGTATCTCTCTCGACGCTATGAGTTTGTCATGTTTTTTTTAGTATGCATTTGGAATAAAGTAGGAGCATTGTAAAAAGATTATTTTCAGTGTAGATTTTCTTAGTGGTTTTTAAATAATGAATAAATATGTCTCCCTACATTATGAGACTGCTGAAACCTCTTTAACCTCATCAGTGTTTGCCAGTGAAAGAAACACAATCTCCTTGTCCAGATAAGAGCCTACTTGCAGTAGCAATCTATACGTTTTCATGTAAGATCAGTACTTCCATTCAGAGGCCTCTGGGACTTCTACACAGGAGGTGGGTAACACATCACATCCTAGTTGCCACTTCCTAAGCAGTGCTAATGGGCGCTAGAGGGTCATTTTCTCTAGATAAATGGTCACCATTACGGAAAAGGCCTTGAGGTGTGAAAGGGAACAAAAGTATAATCAGTGGTGAAGGCTGCCCAATATGAAAGTGAAACCCAGAAACAAAGTTCTACAGTTTTTGTTTCTCACCAAAATAAGAACATATGATGGCCCTTCTTAGAGGGATAGGGTTGCCCAGTTTTAAAATGTTATCTTCAGATTGAAGCACATTGCAGTGTATTAAAATTTACCAAACAAAATGACAAACACCTACAGAGATTAGAAAAAGAAACTGCGTCATTCATCTGAAATATAAAACTAACCATCATACTCTATTAGTATTTTATAGGCATTCCTTGGCTGTTTTCTTTAACAATATTATACAGCACCTAATTAATCACTGCATGTACAGCATATATATTCACTAGAAAAAGATTTTGCATAGGTATGTAAAACCTGCATAATTATTACTTTCTTTTGCACTGGCAAAGGGTATTTGGAATAGGAAGAAGAAAGAAAATAGGTGAATGAAACTATGAGGATCGTCTTGCAACTGTTAGTCTGTATTGTCTGTCCTTCCTCGTCTTTTCTGATCATATTAATCTTCCAAATATTAATTTTTCCCTGGTGTTCTAATGTTAGCTCAGTTAGCCTTTTTTTGTTTTGTTAAAAACCAAGCAATCTTGCATTTCCTGCTAGTATCAAATTTATTTCTCAAGAAAATAACAAACAAAATAAAAATGGTTAAATAAAATAAACCTTACCACACAGTTTTAGTACCAATAATCCTCTTAAGAAGGAAGTAAAAGATCTCAAACAGAATATAATATTTACACTAGAGATAACTACATATAAACTTAATGCTAGAAAGTTAAGTTCAACACAATCATCCCCAGTAAATGCAAACTTTCTGAAATTCACACTACAAAGAAAATACATTTTGTATATTTCCTTTATTACAAATGATAAGGGAAATTACATTTCCTTTATTGTCCAAGTACATTTCCTTTATTTCCTATACGTCTCTTGGGCCAAGATAACTTTACAAAAAACAATCGCCAAGAAGGATACAGTATGCGTTGTACAGGATTTCAATACACAGAGTTTTTTCAGGGTTTTTTTTCCTCTTGGCAGTTGGCTAATTTTTCTTCAAAGATCTTAAAGGATCTTTTGATCCTAAACTAGTTCTCTCAGACATATGGATTTAAACTAGACCTTCGACTCTGAAAGTACAATCCACATGTTAGTTGTTAACCTTGCTCCCAGGCAAAAAACTACAGACAAATTCTGTAGTATGATTTCATTTGCAAATATGTGTTTATTCTATTAGAAGATAGAGACAGCAACAGTGTCCTAGTAGAAGCAAGATGCAGGTAACTTACACCTCCACGTAAGTAAACAATTTCAGCACTGTTCTATTGATCAAGGGTTGAACAGTGCTTTGTAAAGGATAGTCCATTAAAATAGCCTTGTTTATTCTAAAAAAGACATTTTTGGCACTGGTGATACTGTTATCAACTGGCAACTCTCTGCAAGATGTGCTTTACACATTGGGGGCATTCACAAGTGTAAATACAGGTATCTAGTTTAGATGTCTGAATCAGGAACTCAGATCTCACTAGAGTCATTAGTCTCTCTAAAGTATCAGTTCTCAGACTGAAATAAATTAGAAAAAGTGAGTGAGGTGCAATGCACCTTAGCTAGGCATCCTGCAGGGGTGACAAGAAAGGGTAAGGGTTCCCTAGGGTAAGGGATGGAGTAAGCATTAGTGGTATTCTTTTGCTTTCTGAAGTCTTCTCATTCAGGCTCAATCACTGTCCTATTTCAGGGCCAGCGGAAGGAACTGGACAGACCAGGTGCAGCTTAGATCAACTTAAGCTGCCATGAAAAATGCATTGTATGTCTAAATGTGGGTCTCACCCTCTACAGCGGAGATGGAAGGACAGGAACGGGAGTGAGTGAACAGTGAGTGACAGGACGACTCTTTTAGCAGCAGCGTTGATTTAATGGTTTACCAAATAAACATTGTGTAAAGCTCTCCATCTCAAGACCACGTGTTGTGCAAGTTATCTGTCCTCACCAAGAAGTCCTATCACTACACTGCCGTTTCTCTCCCTTCCACTCAGCTAATACAACTCAGTGAGGCATACAAACCGGATTACTGAAGAGATCCCAGTTAATACACAGGTAAACAACCGGGAGGCTTTACTTGTTTCTGGATTTTCTGAAGTAATCCAATTTATTGTGCAGCTCTGCCAATTGCTGAATGTGGTCAAGAGCAGCAAGAATTTCCTGCAGAAATCAGATAGACTTGCACCTCCCACTGAAGCCAGCAGCCTAAGTCCTTATCATTTGTACAGAAGCATCAGTTCACCAGCGATGCCTGCGTGTCACCTGACACGATTCAAACACAAATGCAAACGCCCGTGTGCACTCAAGAATTTTCAGGTGATCCAAATAAGGAACTGGGAACAGCTTAAGTTTAAACCTAAAACTGAGTCAGTATCCCCACATCTCTTGCTCTGCTACTCCCTGACACAGAGGCAATGCTACATGAACTGAACAGTTAACGCTTAAAAATTTCTACTGATTTAAGTATTAAACATAGTATATAGCCGCAACAAGACAAAAACATATTCTCACACTATCCCCTTGCTATGACATCTACAACCAATTCACAGATGTATAATTTAAGTTTTAGAAAACTGTTCCATTATTTTCCATTTTCAGGCTTTAGAAGCAGAGAAAGGAAAGAAATTTGGTGGTCAAGGCAGGTGGGGTATAAGGGACTGGACACTGTTGAAATACAACACTCGAGAAGATTTTACAGTCAATTAGATTAATCAGAATAGAATTTAAAAACTCTGAAGGTGCTCTTCAGCTTCAGGAACAATGGGTGCCCCAGGAAGAAATGCTATAATCAGCATACTGTGTAAATGCAAATTGGAAAAAGTAATTTCTGTTCATTGTATTAATATAAACAATGAGAAAGAAGGAGTGGAAGGGTTGAACTGTGCAATATTAGCATACTGAAACATTAGGAACAGCTTTTGCACTGAGAAGTGTAACAGATAAACTGTCAACAAGCCCAGTGAGGTTTCTGAAAATGATGCTAAAACAGAGAAAGTATGGGTGAAGTGGGTAAATTCTAGTAGTGTTATTTTCTAGATGTTCTTGATTTTTAACACTTTTTTTCCCCCACCGAAACCTGAAATTTAGAATTTCAACTCAGAACTCCATGGAGTTTAGGGAGTAAGGACTGAAAACTGGAAACTTCAGAAACTTGCTGTCATCCAAAGTTCATACCTGCAAATTTCCTTGAGAAAGTCTGTGGAAGAATGAACAGAGCTAAAATATTTAATGTGAATTACAAGGCTTGGCATTAAAATGATGTCTTTACAAACTGCCTTACCACCCAAAATCTACACGTGGGCCTAGGAAATCTGGAATAGGGTAACTGCAAATGTGAACCCAATTCAAAAATTTAAAAGTAACACCAAAGATGTAAGATGCACATAGGATGGAGGACACAGGCTGGATATTGCAAAATCCCAGAAAGGAAAGTTTCAAAGTTCTGTGGACTTGAAGAACTAGGATGCAATTTATCTTGTACATAAATAATACATTTCAAGAGAATATTTTTCTTGCTGACTTTTGTTGCCAATAAAGTAATGTAATAACACAAAAAAAGGGTCTAAAGATCTATGTCTGATATTTCTTTAAAATTCAGTCAGAGCTAGTATGTAGCTAACTGTTACATGGTAGGTAACTGTCAGGACATTACCCTCACTACATCCCAGCAGTCCTGTATCCAGTCAGCACAGGTCCTGACTCATTAGGATTGTGGTCAACACCCTTTCCTACGAGACTCAAGCAAATTAGTATGCTTTATGCAAACCAAAGGAATAAACAATCCCCTTAAGCCTTATCATTAAACAGCAACAACACAAACGTCAGCATAATCTGCATGACTTCTTCATATGACCATCAGTTCTACTAAGCTGTGACGTTACCTTCACAAATAAAAAAGTCGTGCATTTAACTCGATGAAAAGATCTCATTTCCCAAACCAACTGTTCTAACATTTTACAATTGGAATTAACTATCTGCTATCGCTCCTTCTGAACAACTACATTTAAGGCATTCCGCTTGTAGATCTAAAACCCTCACGGGAGAAAAATCATTTAAAAAGAGTAATCTGACAGAGTCAGCTTAAAAAAAAAAGTTTCCAAACCTCAAGTGCAATAACCAGATTTACCTAAGAAAACTGATTGATTACAAAGACAGGTATGCAATTATCACATATCCACATGGCCAATGCACTATTCCAGGCTCTCCAGCAACACGAACCACTTCACTGAAATCTATCTTCCCGGAAAGATAGGCAAGTCAAAAACACCTCTTGTGTCAGTCAGAGAGGGTAAAAACACATGCAAGCTCTTGCTGGCGAGATATAAACCCACCGCTGTCACCA